CCAGAGCAGCCGGCCCCCCGTTAGCCATGCCGGCCGCAGCCGAGGGAATGCGGCAAGAGCCCCAGGAGGTTGCAGCAGTGAGGCTGAGCCTGGGCACCAACAAATAAAAAGCCAAGTCAGCTGGGGGGTTGTATGCAAGCAGCGCTTCCAGGTCTCCGTTCCGCTTTGCTCTCATCCTCCTATTGGATTTGAGATCATGTATGTGTTTTGCTGTCGATTCCGGGGAGTGTTAAAATCTGGGGAGGGAAGAGGATTCGGAAGGATTATTACGCTTGTTTTGATTTAAGGGGATTTTTTTTTCTCTCGCTTATCCCTGCCCTTTGTCTTTGTTAACACAGCTTTGTCTTTATTATGTTTATTTTAGGTCGGTTAATATTGTAGCCTTTGGGAATGAAAGAGGTGGGTTTTCTGAGGACAATCAGCAGCCGAGCCTGATTTGGAGCTATCTCAGGAGAAGCGCTCTCGTTTCCCAGATTGACAGCAGCTTGTCTGCCAGTCACGTCGGAAACCCAGTTTGTACCGAATATCAAGCCTGTGTGTTTGGCAACGTCAGACTGGTGGTACACGACTGTCCTCTCTGGGTAAGAGATGGGTCTCGATCCTTTTAACTTCTTTGTAACACTTAACAGTGTTAGCTGATTTAATCTAATGAAAATAGACCCTAATTTTAAACTATTTTCATTCTTGTGGGACTTAATTCTCATTTGAATTATTGCAAATAGTAAATGCATATAAAATATAACCAGGCAATTGCTGCAAAATCTCGAAGGTGCTACAGAAAGTTTCTCATTAACAAGCCCGCCTCCTCTGTAGGAAGGTGGTCTTTTCAAGTGTGCTGTTGTGTGAAAACCTTATTGAAGACAAACCCGAAGTAAACAAGAACTCTTTTATTGTGACACTGTGACAAAACGGGGGAAAAGGACTTCACTGGGAGGTTCAAATTAACAATTTATTTGGACTTCGCTCACAGGTCCTATACGTCACTGTTGCAAGTTCTGGGTGTACAATGGCGATTACAGTAATGCAGTTTAAAAGAAGTTAGCGGGATACACTATTGCAAGCTACAAATGATCCCGACAAGTAGCAACACAAATCACAAGTGCGCTAGATATTAATACCTTAAAAGAGTGCACCAAACTTAAGAGCATGCCATATACCATACGTATACTTCTTAGTCACTTACCCTCTCTCTCGGGTAAGGTCACTCAGTCCCTGGGAAGTGACCCTGTACAGCGTCCTGGACGGGGGGGGATGGATGTCCTACAGGCCAGCTGTATCATTGGGAGATTCCCCCTTTTTCTCCCCAAACCTTGCGGTTTATATTTCCTGACTCTGTGGGGGTGCAGGATTATGCCTGAGTGGATGACACTCTCTGGGATATCGACCTCCGGTGGTGCGATAGCCAAGTCTGTGTTGCCAATATGTGATGTCCAGCGCTCAAAGTCACAGCAACAGTGGTGGGATGGGACTCGGGGCATTTTGTTAGTTAAGGGCAGTTTGGTTTCGGTTCTGATATGCAATCTTGAGACAACCCCGGGCTGAGCAGTTTTGCAGCTCCCCCCAGGTTCTCTCTGCACAGACAAGGCAAGGCGGAGGTGATACTGTGTCGGATGGCAGCTCCCTGCATCTCACCTCTTCTGCTCTGAAACCAGTTTGGCTGGGTGCTCCCATACAGACACTGCATCATAACACTCTCTCCATGTATTTATCAACAATAAAACAAAACACTTTTTTTTTTTCTGTAAAAGTTGAAAGGCAATCAGTTTTCCAGCTTTGACAGATAATAAAATTTGATATCGTGCAAAATACAGCACACAGAGTAATTTTGTTTTCTGTTCTAATGAATAATCATCTTTTAACATTATTTCCTTTATTTGAAGGTAAAGAAAAAGGCTTTTGGCACTGTTTCAGGTTGTCAGCCCTTTTGTTAGTACGTGAGATAACTTACTTGGGAGTGCGAGCAGATCAATGGTTATGCAAGAAATGACACTGATAATCTAAATTCAAACATATTTAATGACTACTTAGTAGCCTTAAAAAAAATTAAGCTTAGCAGCTTTTAGAAATTAAAACAATAATCAGTTTCAGCTCCATAATTCTATCTTGGGGTGATTTTTGCAGTCTTGTAAGGAACACTTATTTTGGAATCTGCAGGAATCCTAACAGTTCCAAGAAATACACGGTCAGAGGTTTGTAATCCTCTAACCAAATGGTCTGCTTTCGACAGCAATCTGTTCTCTATTTCCCAAGCTTTTTTGTTGGCTGTAGTTACAGACACTGGCTCAGATGGGCCAGGGGATCCTGGTTTTAATCTTCGAAGCGGCAGGTGACCTGCAGGTGCAGTTTGCCGGAGTCACTGGAGCGCAGCAAGGAGTGAAAGCTCCTGAGGGTAAATTAAGGCTGCAGAACCTGAAAGGGTGTTTGAGAGGGTTGGAGGTTGGTGAGGGAGGGGGAAGGTGGGCAGGGGTAGCTGGAGAAGGGCGAAGAAAGGATCTAGATTGGAGATGCAGTTCACCTGTTTTTATGTTGTTTTATTTGCATTTGCTCTTCTACTAAACAAGGTTCTTCAGTTCTGGAGAAATTACCAGTTTTGCCCTTGAAGAGCTAGCTTGTTGTTGCCTGGAGCATTATGTTTCTGAGGCCTCTGTTTTTTTCCTTTCTCAGCTAAAGGAGGCAGGAGATTTATTACTGGGAACAACGAGGAACAAACGGCAATTTTTGCTTAGCAGAAGACATCTGAGACAGCTGGACTGGACTCTGCAGGAGGTGGTTTGTTCTGAGCGAAGCTGTCTCCTTGCTAGGGTTAGGGAGAGCAGAATCGATTCCCATAGTCTGGATGCTTGAGGGTTGCTACGTCACAGTGGTCTTTTCAGGACTGTTCCTCTGGTAGCCTGGGAATTGGTACAGGACAATCCAAAATGTTGACTGACAATGCCTCAAGTCACGTTCTTCATGAGAAAGGGTTCTTGTGGCACATAGCTGAAACATAGCGGTGGTGGTATGGTGGGCCTCGCATTATTTCCACCTCTGTTGTCTGAGCGCAACATAAAAGCGAATTTGCATTTTACCTGAGATTTATGTCTTATCTAGATTAAATCCGTATGCTTAAGGTAAACTTATTAGACATAAACTTGGCAAGGGATAGCTGTGAGTCTCCAAACTCAAGGGTGCCCAACTGCTCTTTGTTCTCTACAGCTCTCCATCTGGAAAAGCCGCGTGGGTGCAAGTTTGCCAAGCAGAGCTCCCCATTGCACGGGGGGACCCTTTTGTGAGATAGGTTGTGGTACAGGGTGAGTTTGCGCCTGTTTCGGTCTGCTGCTGCATGTGTCTTTTTCAGCCCAGGGCACTGCTCAACTTTTTGAGTCTGCAGGAGGGGTCAGCTGCTCAGGTGTCTTCAACTGGACTCTTCCTGATGATATTACGATATTGGGCATCTTACTAGGTACGATATGTCTCTTTGACAGGGCTGCAGCAAGGTTTTTCAGCAGCTGCCAAAGTGCTCGTGCCTGGAAAATGTTTTGATAAAAGCTGCAGACACAGGGTGAGGGGAGATATGAAAACTAGGGACAATGTGTACGTGTGCTAACAACGTCAGTGCTGAATATTGTGATTTTAATAGCTGATCAGTCGCTAACGCATGCTTGAGTTGTGCTCTCCTTAGGCACGTTGAAATAGCATGTCCCGGGTTTTCTAATTTTTTTGGGGGGTAAACCTCAATATGGGAGCTAGTAACTTACAGAGAGTAACTTGCAAAATGGATTTTAAGATTTGCTTTGGAAAAGGTTGCTTTATTTAGCACTCTGTGTATGTCAGATCTGACAGTCTTGGGGACTGAGTTGACACTTTATTGGGTTGTGTGTAGTTTGCAACTTTAGTCACTTCACACTGAATTTCCTTATGCTTCTGCATACGTACAAGTAAAAACTGCAGAAAAAAGTGCAGGCAAAATTTGCAATATCTGATGGCAAGTGAGTCTTCCTCAACTTCAGAATGAAGCATAGCACTGGGGCTATAATTCGTATTTTGATTCATTTAATTCTGATGCTGGAAGAGAAATGGCAGAATGAAAACTTCACTATGAGTCTCCCCTACCTGCATTACCTCTCTTGTTTCCTCTCTTGTTCAGAGCAGTACCATGAAGATACGAGAATGTTTCAGTCCTGGGCTGGGGGTCTCACTGTCTGTTGTTTTTCCCCTCTGTGAGCCACCTGGTTTGGCTTGGGTTTTTTGTTTGTTTGTTGGTTGTTTTTTTTTTTTTCTTCAGGTACCAATACCTCCAGATGATTTTTTTTCCCCCTACTTTATAAAAACTGCCCAGGTTCCCAGAGAATCACTGACATCATCCTGTTCCCAGTAGCAGAAATGTTACAAGTGGAGAAAACAGAGCAGCTGGGTTTGGAGAGAGCCTTGTGCTGGGTTCGGCACGGGCAGGGCGACGGGCGCTGAGCTGTGTCTGTACCCGCTGTGGGGGCTGCACGGAGCTGCACGCCCCCGTGGGGCTCACTAGTGCCCGAACATGTTAACTGCCATTTTGAAAAGGTCTTCTGTGAATTGTTTTTTTCAAATTTTCCCTTTCAACGATCGCTTTCCACGAGTCTTTTCTCATTTCCCTGTCTGCTTTTCTTCCTGCACCATCAGTAGCAGTTCCCTGAGCCCTTCGAGCTTTCTTATCGCCACGGCATCATCCCTAGTGTGGTTATCTGGCTTTTTCCCTGCAGCAATGTCGTTGTGCTCCTTGTGCTGGCTAGGCTGGCTGACCCTTAACATGCCTGAAAGTAAAGGAACCTGATCCACTTTTTAATTTCATTTATTATTTTTAGAAATCCAGTCATACTACTGCTTCAGTACAAACCCACAGCTTTTCATTTTTTTAAAAACTTCATTTTTTGGTAAACTTTTCATTTCTTAGTATGTTGTCCTTTCTCATTTTTAAGCTTCCCTATCCCAAGTTGGTAGTTTACAACAAGTGATCGTACCCTGGTAAATTGTTTTCCCTACTGTGTTCTCTATTTTTGCTTTTTACAAACATTACTACATTGCTTTATGAGAGGACGGCACAGGACAATGCCTTCATTAATTCTATTTCTGGGTCAGCTCAACCAGTTAAAGCTGTTTGGAAAGCCTCGAGTGAAAAACAGAAGTGGCATTCGAGTGTTGTGGTCTGAATTCCCTTGGTTTCTGAAGAAGATGCTTCCTTCTGTGCTGCAGGTTACTCAGCTGAGTAAGTTCAGGGGTCCAGTAAGTTACAGGGAGTACGCCTGCAAAATTTGTTCTGCTGTGGACCTCATTGGATAGAAATTACAGAGAAACCTTCAAAAAATGGGGGAAGGATGTGATATGTGGTGTGGGAAGCATCGCTGGAAGGAAGGGTCTGTTAATGGAAGATGGGTCTGTAAATGAATCCTTAGACAGAGGTGAACTTTCCAAAACTCCCAGTGCAGCCCCCTTGGATCCCGGGGAAATGCCGGGAATGGTCCTCGTGGGTGGCCAGGCTCCCTTGTCCCCCCAAAGAGCATTTGCTATTGCTGCTGCCCCAGGTCGAGGTCTGGGCTGGGTGGACGTGGGGACATTTACGGGCAGCTTTTAGAAAGAGCGTGGGCATTGCGAGGCCACAGTGGATTTCACTGCCGTTCCATAAAGGCATTCATAAATTATTTTTAACAAAGCAAGTATTGTCCTCTTGAGGCGTCATGTGATTTTCTAGGAAAACCGGGTCTCGTTGCGTCTGAAGGCTTTATTTTCAATGCTAATGCTTGAAAAGCATGATTTCATGCTAGTGGGAAGAATATATTATGAGACGTGTGTAATGGAGACATGCAAGGGAAGAATGAAGCTTTTTTCTAATAAGTCCTGAGAGGAATAATGACAGGAGTATAATTATAATTAAGAAGGTCATATTATAATAACCTTAGCTATGCAGTTACCTTTTTCCTTTTGTCATTGGCTGTCTTGGGAAATGAGAAGAGCAGGAAGCATGATGAGGAATAGCTGCTACATAAATTTCATAAATGGAGCCAGGAATTAACATTGTTCCTGAATCTGAGCTATTGTTCATCATCTAAAGAAATCCCCTCTGTTGTTTTTGCATGGAAGCTTCCCTAAAAGTGATAATGCTCTGTCTGTTTGATGCCTTTTGCAAATAACCCTTTAATGCCGGAGACTTTTTTTTGGAAGATTTTCCCAGCACAAAGCATCAATCTGCGCAATATATGCTACACTTGATTTAAAATGAAAATAATTGCAACAAGACGTCTGCGAACATGTCTTTCTCCTCTGTGTTTCTAAACATCAAGAATGGGCTTTCAGGGGTGTTAAATCGAGCATGTGAGATCAAAAGGAAACTGCACAACGGTAACAGAAATTGGGTGTCATGAGATGTTGGGTTGGCACATTCTGCATTTTTCACTTCTTGATATACCCAGGGACAGCCCTTACCCCGGGAAAGTGGGCTCCATCCCCACCAGAACTTCATAAACTTTGGTAAAATACTTCCTGATAGGATTAACAGGGACAGACAGCGGTGTTACAGGCAGTGGTGGAAAGCACAGACCTCCACAAACCTGCTGCAACGGACTTCCAAGTGATTTCTTTCCCCTAAGAGTTAAACAAAGAGGTGCATTCGCACACCTGGGCAGCTGTTTTCAGTACAGATTTTGCTAGGTTTTCCCACGCCTGCGAAGATGGAAATATGGCAAGTGGGGCTAAGTACGAAAAGGGAAGGGGAATCATGCCAGGTAATGGCCTTATTTTCTTTTTGGTGTTGTTTGGTTTTGCAAAATATAACTCCTTTTCATATTAGTATGATTTTCACTTGGAGAGACCGAACCATCTTTTTTTTTTTTTTTCTGCGTCAGCCTCTTAAGCCCCTGTTTTGTTAGATGAGGCACATACAGACAAACACAAGTCTACTGCAGCGTACTCTGCTGAGATTCCCGTCAACAGGAAGAGCATCAGAGCTGCCACTGGTTGAGGTTGGGGCACGGAGGATGTTCCAGGCTGGTGTTTTAGTGGACGATGGTCTCCTTGGAGAGCCAGGATGAGGGCTGGGGCCAGAGCAGGGTGCGTGTCTGGGTGTGTATAAGGTACCTGGCGTCCTGTCCTCTGCGGCTGGTGGGGCTGGTGTCAGGATGGAGCCACAGCTCAGTGCATTTTGGTATCTAGAAGCCCTGGCCTCTGCTGTAGGTCAGGACCAGGCTTATATGCTGAAGCTGAGCACGAGGATCAGAGCTGGTTCTTTCCTTGGGCATGGCTGTGTTGATGTTGACCAAAAATCAGAAATCTTCCCAAAATCTTTCCATATTGTAATGTGAAATGGTGTCATAATGCACTGGAGATTTAGCTCTGTTGTAAAATGGAGGGAGCTATAAACCATAAACAAACATATGACTAATACTACATTCTGTAAGAAGTTTCCATAAACATTTTTTTATTATTAGTGCTTAAAGCTGTGGCGGAGTCCTTCTGTCTTTGTGCACCTGTGCTCTAGACCGTGCCGGTGATACTGCTGATTATCACCAAGCTCAGAGAGATGGGCTTGTGCACACCTGGGCTGAGCTTGGAGACAGGCAGCTGGAAGGAAACTGCAAAGGAACAGGCATGCTTTCTGTCTGCCAGCATAGAAAAACCTTAATATTCTCTATTTGGTTTTGCTTCGTGTTGCATTTTTGTCTTAAGACTTTGCCATGTTAAATGTATACAACCCTACTAAAAATTCTCTGTTGAGGTCTTCATCAGCTAAAGCCTGTTAAAGCTCTCCCTTGAAAATTCTCAGTTTTTACCTGACTGTGTGATCAGGTTCTGCAAATGCCCATCCAGCTGGTTGTCTCAAAGCACTGTAGCTGATAGTCTTACTGCTGCAGGTGCTAAACTTGTGTTTATGTGTTAACTTTAGATTCTTAGCACAGCTTAAATGATTCTGTTAAATGCTGGTGGAGATTTTCCTTAGCCTGGGATTATAATAGTCTCTTACTGAGTTGACTGAAAAAAGAAATACCAAGAGGAGTGCTCTTAAAGCTCTTGTGAACATGTTGAATCGTTGAATAGCTATTCCTGATGATTTGGTATTTTTCTGTGGTTTTCTTATTACAGAACAAGAACTTCTATTGAGGAAATGAATGGCAATGCCTATTATACTTGAAGTTTATTTCCTGCCTTCTTTCTTTGTAAAGACAAGACTTAAATTGGGTACGATATGCACTGACAGTCTAGGCAAATATTTGCCAACTGATACATTTCCATCAAATTCACGCTACCTCTTGTACGTAAGAGCATTGCAACTACTTCTCCACAGATTTGAAACAATGACTCTTTTGAAGTGATCCAAAATAATTACATTGACAATGCAAGCCACGTGTTGATATTAATAATCTTTTACGTATTTCTCTGGTTCCCATCCATAATGGTCTTATTTCTGTGATCTGTTCTTCGATAACCATGTTGACCATCCCCAACCCAAACTTTGGGTGCCTTTTGTCACTTCTGTGCTTGCTTATTCCTCTCTTCCACATCTTCTTTATTTCATCATTACTTGTTTCCATTTTTTTCCCTAGATCCTGAGTTCTTCTAGCTTTGCCTTATGTTGTACAGGACTGTTATAAAAGCACAGAATGATTTCAGTTGGAAGGGACCTTAAGGACCGTCTCGTTCCACCCCCCTGCCCTGGGCAGGGCCACCTCCCCCCAGCCCAGGTTGCTCCAAGCCCCGTCCAACCTGGCCTTGAACACCTCCAGGGATGGGGCAGCCACAGCTTCTTGGGGCAACCTGCCCCCGGGGCTCACCACACTCATATGAAAAATTTCTTCCTTACATCGTACCTAAATCTCCCCTCTTTCAGTTTAAATCTATTGTCTCTTGTCCTGTCACTACAGGCCTTGGTAAAAAGTATCTCTCCATCTTTCTTGTAGGCCCTCTTTAAGTACCGAAAGGCTGCAATAAGGTCTTTCTGTTGCAAGAGGTGATAGTATTTTATTTTTTGGGTCGATTTTCAGTTCTCTGGGCCAGTTCCAGATTTCAGTTAGGAATTTTCAGTTGAGCATATGTGCAGGACTTTCATTGGTGTTTATGAGCTACCTTTAGGTAAAGGAGAAATTGTGAAATTATAGTTCTCCTGTATAAAAGTAATGACTGGATATGACATGTGGTTACAGCAGTTGTGGATTAACAGGATACAAATAATTTTAGAGTGTAAGTCTTATGCTTAAAGCACAGAACAATGACAAATCGAATGTGAAGTAAAAAAGAAAGTTTAGTTACGTGATTAAAGTCCTTATCCTGAAGACACTGTCACTTGTTAAAGCTACACGGAAGCTCTTGTGAAGCAGATAAAAATCCCACCCAGCTGATGGAACTTGTATTTAAAGGTTCATAAGCACCTAGTGTAGTTCTGTGTAACCCTTTCCCTAAAATGTTGTGATAAATAATGGTTTTGTATGAATTGCTGCAAACCTCTACCACTGAAACTACTTTTATTTCCTTAATAAAAAGTTTTGAAAGTTAAGGAATTAAACCAATGAAGTTTCTTCCTGCAAAGTACATTCCTGGATAAACCCATTTCTTCTTCTTCCGGAAGAATTCCTGAATTCATAGAAGAGATTTATTGCTTATTATAATGAGCAACTTCTTCTCCAAGCAAGGAAATTACAAAGCGTGAATTCTGCTCTTTGTTTCATGCCTTCAAATAAGAGATTAAGTTATCAGTTAAAAATACTTCTGTAAGCTTTTGCATGAAGACTGTTGAGTAGTTCACCTTTTCCTTTGTAGACATGAAATTCTTGATCAGTGTTTTTTCTGTTTAGGATATATTTGACAGTGACTGGTACACCTCTCGCAGTCTCGTTGGAGGAGCTGATATTATTGTGATTAAATACTCTGTCAATGACAAGACTTCATTTCAAGACCTAAAGGACAGTTATGCCCCAATGATAAAAAAGGCGTTAAACCAGTGCTCCGTTCCGGTAATAATTTCTGCTATTGGTGCGAGAAAAAACGGTATGTATCCAGTTTCCTGTAGTAAGAGTTAAAATCTCACTTGGAAGTTGGATGTGCTGTAATTTCAGTAGAAGCCGATTGTTTTTCCAAGTTGCTAACGGAAACAATTAGTCTGTCAGGGTGACAGTAATATGTGCATGTGCTATGGCTCTGTAGACTGGTATATTGGCAAGAGCATTATGCTTAATGAACCCTGTCTATGAAAGGCATCTTATCCTGCTTTGACCTCTGCGACGACTCTTCTTGTGGAGCCATCAGCCACGGGGATCAAATCTAGTGCTTGGGATTAAGCAGTGTGCGCTTGAGTGTATGGGGTGAACCCTCTGGTTACCAGTTCTCTCTGGCCACGTCGCTGGTGTAAAGTGTCTCTAGCTTATGGGGTTCAAACTAAGTCCATCTGCTTGTAACCGCTCGAGAGGGGGTGGGAAAAGCCTCAAAATTTGCTGAGATGTCGTCAGGTGAATGGACTCAGCAGTTCTTCGGGTTCCGCAAAGTGCCACATGCTGCCACGTCGACAGAGTTGACCTGTCACAGCTGTAGCTGCGGGGAAGGTGTGGTATCGCGATGGTACCGCTTGTGTGTTCGCACAAAGTCCTCTCCCGGCTGATGAGAAGTCTGCTATGACAGCAGTGCAAATCAATGCTACATTTACTTTTTGCATGTGTTGTCGCTGCTGCCATTTAATCAGTGTGAAAATTCCAGTCGCACAACTGTGTAAGGACCGAGAGGACGTGCAAGTGTCCAGCAGCTGATGAGGGCGACGCTGCTGGGAGTGTCTTCACGGTTTGGGTAGACATTAGTAACTCCCATCTGTTTACATCGGGGAAATAAAGTTGGAAAAGAATACCACAGAGACCAATAGAACAAACATACAAACTATTGTGTATTTCCAAATATTTTGCAACATGCCTTTGTTGATGGTGGTGGTTCATTTTGTCACGGGGCCTGATTTTCAAAACTTCTTTTTCCTAAAGGAATGAAAGCAAAACTTGAGCCTTTGAGTTGTCTTTTACTTTAAAATTGGACCAAAACAAGTTTTCTGAGCATCCCTCCTGCTGTGAGTAAGGGACATGATGGATGATGTAGATGTAGCCATTTGTTTTATAATGTACAAAGAAATATTAAGCTGTTGGAGTGTGTCTTCTGTGGACGTAATGTCAGTTTTCCCTGCGTCTACTTATAAATCTTTTTGCTCAGTGATTGCAATAGAACTGTTAAAGAACTCTATAACAATTACATCGTTACTTTCTTCTGTTTGGTAATTCAGTGGTAATGATCAAATATTTTTATGCTCTGATTTATGCATTTATGGCTGGTAAATCTGCCATTCTAAAGCCAAGGTCTTGCTACACTGATGTTTGTCTCCCCGGTGCTGTTTCTTGCGCTTTTTATTTAAGCACAAGATATCAGCAATCTGAATGACTCCACGACTGGCATTTTTCTTTCCCCCCTCCCTTTTTTTCTCTTTTTTTTTTCTGTCTTCCTCCATAAATGATGTGACTGTGGGAGAAGTCGGGCTCTCCAGCCGCGGTTTGGCTCTGGAACCCGCCGGAGCAGACTGCTGTGCACACGCAGAACCCTTTTGTTTCTAGGAGGGATGTGTGAGCACAGCAGTTTGCTCATACAAATTACTGATATCTTAATCCTCTGTAGTAGCAAACGGTGCTGCCAAAAGAAATACATAAATAAAAAAAAAAGCTGTGTTATTACATGTTATCCATAGGTCTGAGCAGAGGAAGTTAATGCAGAGCACGGAGAGCGCGTTTGAAAGCCCATCCCTGGCCAGCAAGTCCTTACAGGCTTTCAGAGAAGCTGAGCCAAGGTGGCTGAGAAATTTTTATGAGTTAACTGGCACCATCTTCAAAGATACCTATTTTGGCTTTAAAAACAAATCATGTAAAATCTGTGTAATTGAATCATATCCCACAGCACCTACATGCCCATCACAGCTGGGACTGCAGTGGGAATTTTCCCCTTCTGTCACTGTGCGTGCTTCCTGCACGGGCAGGCCACGGTCATTAAACACGTCTGAGGGCACATTAATGAATGGTAACACCTGCAGGCTAGTACAGCACCTCTGCGCCTAACGATGCTGGGGCCCTAAGCCAAACCCGGCTTCTGGGAGTCCTGCTTGGCTTTTCCACTGTAGCCAAACTGAATGTAAATTGATGCTAATGAAATGTAAGGTGAGTTTTGTACGGCAGCTAACAGTTTAAACTGAGTCGTGAGACAGTTTTTTGCAGTAATTCTAGATTTCTTGCTATAAAATGACTATGTTTCCATTTCCTTTTTTTGTTCTTTTCTAGATAATACATCTTTACAGTTATTTAGGAAGCTAAATACTCTGGATTATTTGACCAAAAAATTGCTTTTTTTGCATTACTTTTTACCCCAGGAGTGCCTTGCACCTGCCCCCTGTGCACTTCGGACAGGAGGAGCTGCGTCACCACCTCTGAGGGAGTTCAGCTTGCCAAGGAACTAGGAGCCACTTACCTCGAACTGCACACTCTTAATGACTTCCACATACAGAAGTACTTTGGAGGAGTGGTGAGTGAGAAGCCGCTGGGATGAAAGCTGGGTGGCACACGTGGGAGGTGCATGGCCGATGTCAGGGCTTTGGAGAGCGAGCGGAGGCAACCACAAGCCCCCCCACCAAAGGCGAGTTCCCACCAATGTGAGATTTAGGTTAGATATCAGGAAGAAATTCTTTGCACTGAGGGTGGTGATCCCCTGGGGCAGGTTGCCCCGAGAAGCTGTGGCTGCCCCATCCCTGGAGGTGTTCAAGGCCAGGTTGGACGGGGCTTGGAGCAACCTGGGCTGGGGGGAGGTGGCCCTGCCCAGGGCAGGGGAGGTGGAACAAGATGGTATTTCAGGTCCCTTCCAACCCAAACCATCTTGTGATTCTATGATTCTAGCTGGATTGACAGTAACGAGGTTGCTCTGGTTTTCACTACCTTCTAGGAAGTTTTAGGAAAATCACAGTAAACACTGCACGAATTTCCCCCTCTGTTCCTGTCCTTTTATCTTGCTGGGATGTGATAATCAAAACCCAGCTGGATGAGGCACTTGAAAACCCCATCCCACGTGGAAGATGAGTCTTGTTTTGATCCAGTGCCCTGAGGGGGTGACATCCGCAGGTCCCTTCCAAGCTGAATTATTCCATAATATTCTGATACTTTTAATTTTAATTGCTCAAACTCTCACAGCTGTTCTGCTTGTAAAGTGAGACAGGTAAGATTGTTGACTTGCCTGATTTTTAGCATATTCTTGTGGTCGCTCAGTTCACGGTTGTGACGCAGTTTGCAATCCTGAGCAGTGCCCGGGGTCAGGCGTGGTGAAGCTGAGCGAGGCAGAGCTGAGACATTTGTTAAAATGTCCCACCTCTAATGAGCTTATTCTTTTTTCACTCTGCTGAAGATGGAAGCCCACTGAGCAGTTTCTAACTACAGCCTTTCAGATTTATTTGTCTTCTCCACAAAATTATTTCACACTGATACTTCACTTTCAGTTTTAGGAGGCTTTTGAAGCTCAGCCTTTCTTTTGAACCTTTTGGTTACTTTCCCAGTGGCATTTGGGCTTGAACAAAAAAATGCCGCTCTTTTGGCACAGTAATTTCACATGGTCCGTGCTGTTGTTGTCATCCCTGGTGTGTAAGTACGGTGTGTTTCCATGGGATGCGATAGTCACTTGGAACGTCTGGCATGACAGCTAGCCAGTTGTTGTTGGATCTCTTCATTCCCAATTCAAAACGAGGAATCCACTCAACATCTGGTCCAGCCAGAGTATTTTTCTAGTTTTTAAAAAGCGCTATATGTGCTACAGTGATACCTTGGGCGATAAAAGCACGTGAGACATGCACTAACTGAAATAGAACCATGCCTTGTGCCGCCTCGTTCCTGTCAAAGGGAGCCTTTCCCCTCAGGTCCATTTTTATTGCAGTGATGACACTTGTAGTCCGTCCCAGGGAAACAAAGCGTGCCCACAAATATCGCGAAGTAACGTGATTTTCTCAGAGGACACGGTAGCATTGCGTGGTGGCGGTGGTTAGTTGCAAGCTGAGGAGCTTTTGTTATGGTTTTGCTATTTCCATCACTTGCACCTGGTCATTATCCATCAAATCTTATTCTTCTCTGTAATTCTGTAATTAGCATCTACGGAATTTGGTAAACTGAATATCCTTGTGGCTGTCATTTCTGGAAAGATTCAATACAAGAGAACTACCTGCTGTCATTTGAATAAATAAATAGTCTTTTAAATTGTGATGCTTCCACCTAAAAGCAGTACCCGCTCCTGGTGAAGGAGCGTTGGGACTGGGAGACCTGGATGACTGTTCATAGCGGCGGCAGCCTCAGTCCTGCCTACAGCACCCGCTCGTTCCCCTTGCTTTGATGTCTACGTTGTTCTTAAATAACTAGGATTTTTAAAAAATAACATTTCATGTTTTAGCTGGAATATTTTATGATCCAAAGTTTGAATCAGAAGTCATCTGAAAAAATGAAGAAAAGGAAAAAGACGCAGAAGTGCCATCGGGTTCAACCACCTCAGCTCGAACAGCCAGGTGCTCGCTGATGTCTGGTCTCTAGCTCATTATGTGTGCCATGTTCTTTGCACAATTAACATTTTGTAATGATGACTGTGAGCTGTGCTCTCTATCATCAGCTATTCTGGTTATGTTGCTATCAATGCATCATCTGTTAGTGAAGGCTTAATTAATTTGGGAAGAATTGCGTAGGAATACGTAACGCTGCCATGGACTTCTTATTTATTTTAGGCAAAAATAACAGGAGTGGTTTTCTGGTGCACTTGGTGAAATAATGCAAAGGTAAATTGTTAAAAGCTTTACAGACAAATTATAAAAGAAAGTCACTACATCATGCTTAATTATTCTATAATATCATCAAGTAATATTTTTATTTGCTGCAAATCAAACAAGGGAGAGGTGTATGCCCCTGCACGTGATTTCTTGCACATGATTTCTGAGCATCTGATGCATTTGTTGAGTGAAAGGATTACTGAGGAGAATTTACCTCTAAATACATGGCTGTCTCTTCTCACAGGTCCTAGAAATTTGCTCAGATCCTTTAGGTTTGGGATTCATAGGCAAGTTGGTTTTTCCCAAACATAAATGCCTAAAGAGATTTTGTAAAAGGATGGACACTTTTTACTTAGCTATTTCTTATGTTTCTTCTTTTACTGTACTAAGTATTTCCATTTTTTAGAGTATTTTACTAAACATATTCAAACAGAATATGAGAAATTTTCTTATCGAATACTTTTTTCAAAAATTGTCCTTCTTTTGCTCAGGTCTCTGGGAACAGAGTTGTCCTGCCGTTAGTACTTGCTTCAGTTCTACAGCCCAACTCGTTATCTTTCGCAGAAAAAATGCCAATCCTAAAGGGCGAAGCTTCACACTACGATGCGGACCTGCACAACCTGCTCTGCTGCTGCCAGTGCGCGGACGTGGCGTTCTACCCCGAAGACCTCAGCACAGTGGTGGAGGCCAACAAGGCCATCCTCGGCTCCGCCAGCCACCTCTTCATGCTGCTTTTCGAGGTGAAGAGCCCCGCCGACATCCGCGACGCCGCCATCGTGCGGACAGCGCAGAGCCTCTTCGCGGTGGAGGCGGGGGCCCCCCGCAGCGTCCCCCCCTGCGTCCCGCCGGTGAGGGTGGTGGTGAAGGATGCCGTCTTCTGCTCTTGTCTGCCGGACATCCTCCGCTTCCTCTATTCAGGTACCCCCGGGGACAGGGACGGATCCGGCTGCTCGTTTCTCTGACAGCCGATGCCCTGCGAAGGGGTGCGTGCATCACCTTCCGGAAGGTGCCCTCGCTGTTGGTAGATCGTGTTCTGCCATGGTGCTACGTCTGTTTTGTCCTTGGGATTAGGGTGAACAATGTCTATATGAAAGGACCCCTTTGCCTGGATTTAATAAAAGCTAAATGAGCTGTCATTCCAGATCTAAGGAACATAAATCACGCGCAGTATTTTACTGAACAAAGCCCGCAAGATAACATCAGTAATATTCAAAAGCTTTGCCAAAAAACTCTAGAGTTTGAGACAGTTTCAGATTTCAGGCTTTTGAAATATTTTAAATGGTTGCATGTTCTAAACACATTGATGAGAGTGCAGGGTTACTTAAGAAGACCCAAGTGATTTCTCTTCTGGGTGCGGTGCTGCTGAAGAGCAAACAGCAGTAACTGGTTGGAGTCCTGGGGGCTGTGATACGTCGCGCGTGTTTCACAATCAGTTCAGTACAGGCAGGGACCTCACCTACCTGATCCCAGCTCTCTATTAAAATGGCCCTGATATTTTTCTATCTTTTTAAAAGTTGCTTAGGAATCCTCAGGTGAAGGAGATTTTTTTGTTTTGTTTTCTGGAAGTACCTGATACTGTTTGTTCTTTATGAAATATTTTGCAAGCTGTCAGTACATAAGAATATACATTTCATATTTGTTGAAAGAATTAGATGGCTTTTTAAGGATGCAATCTGATTTTAACTGTAATTAAAAAAAAAAGCCCCAAATAATGATATTGTTAGAGCTGCATCCCTAAAGAAACTTAGTTAGTCTCTGTAGACTGATACCTGCCTGATGTGTGTAAAGGATTTCTGCCGTACTAGCTGTGAACACTGGCTTGTGAAGACACAGGGAAGGCTCTTTCACCTTTCCCTTAGAGTTTGTCATTGACAATGGGCACAAGTTGGAACAGAGGAAGTTCCGTTCCAACACACGGAAAAACTTCTTTACGGTTGGGGTGACAGAGCAGTGGCACAGGCTGCCCAGGGAGGGGTGGAGTCCCCTTCTCTGGAGGTTTTCAAGACCCGCCTGGATGCAGTCCTGAGGGATGTGATCTAGGTAGTCCTGCTTTAGCAGGGGAGTTGGGCTAGGTGGTCTCTAGAGGTCCCTTCCAACTCTGAAGATTCTGGGATTCTGTGAAGCGTTTGTGGTTCAGACACCTGCACAGCAGTGCTACCAGCAATGTGAGCAGAAGCTAAAGAACTTCCATAAATAGTGAAACACTCAGGATTATTTTTTTTTTTCTGAACGTCTACCTGCAATATGTGATGATTGACCTGGGAGGAATACAGAAATTGATTTTGAAAGCAGGAGGATGCCCCGATCTCTCTGTACTTGATGGCATTCTTATAGCTGGAAGTACCGTGGAAGTTTTATTGTGCAAGGACTGCATCTTGCCCTTCCTAAGCACAAAGATCTGGCTGATGTATATGCAAAAAATACAGTTTCTGCAGGATCTGTTTGGCATTGGTACTGTCTTTTCTCTGTCTGCTAAGGCCTGTGCCCTGCTGATTTATAATCCAACTTTACCTGGTCTTGTGACAGGGGCTTTCCAGTGGGAACAATTAGAAGAGGATCTAAAAAAGAAGTTGAAGGATCCAGAAAAAACTGAACACGTGCTTGAGAAAGTTAAATGTATCCTGAAAGCTCCAGGGAAGGTACATCTAACTCTCTTGGGGTAATTGTTAGTATTAGTTACTGAAGTTCTTGGGGAATTGTTTTGTAGACAAGATTTATTGTCAGCCTTTGTTTTAAACTTGCTTTGGCTTACACAGCTTTTATTAATTTACCAGTGGGTTGTTCACAGGCAAAATAGAAACCCAGAGATGCTGATCTAACGTGCAGAATTAATGTAACTGCTAAAAAGCACACAAGTAGGTATCCTAAAAGGATTACTCGTATTCACAGCTTTTCACTTTGTCTAACAATATGATTATGTGTTCCTAATTCTTACGTAATAGAGGCTGCCCAGAAAAGCTTTGCTTTCCGGTCTATGTGCCAAAAGTTATGTTTCTGCAGTAGATCGGGAGAGTTTGTTTCTCTTCTAAGTGTTGTCATGTGGAAATCTCTCTATAGCTCAATATATTTAATTCAGCAGAATGCTTCAAAGTAAAGTGTAATTTATGTCACATTATTATGTTAATAAAAAGTTACACCGTAGGATTAGTTTCAACAAATGGAGCAAAATAGATACAATCCCTGGTACTACAGAACTTGCACAAAGTATTTCTGTTGTTGAAATGGGAAATCAGCTTGGAATGTCTTGAGATAACTTAATATAAAGACCAAAAATTTTCTTAGCTGTTTTAAGCTTCTGATTGCTCAGCTGTACGCTTGGCAGTTCTAGGTGTCCACAGCTAAAACAGTCATAGGGTTGACTTAGAAAGTTGTGAAAAACTTTAAGGTAATATGCCTGAGCTGTTGCTGTTTCTTCTGGGGTTTTTTAATGCCTTTGGGATACTTTTATTTCACATTCCAATTTTTTTCTTTGAAGACATGACAACTAGAAATGAATTGTGATTTTCTTGAGAGAAATTAATTATATAGATGAGCTGAAGTTTTAACCATAAATTAAACCTCATCTGAATGTCACTTATCACAACCTGGCAATATGATTTTGATGCGGTTCCTTTTGGTAGCTGTAGACTCCATTTTTAAAGTTAGAAAAACAAAACTGAAAAACTAACTGGAAGTACTGGGGTTTGGAGGGTCTTGACGCTAGGACGCCCAGATTACTGTGAGAGAAGTCCGTGCTTCAGCCTGTGAGCTCGCTCTGCCTCTGCGGAGGCAATATTAGGGCAATATCAAGAAGTACACCACTTCTGGCTGCCTTGTGTCTGTACGTGGCATCACGTCAGGGGGTGGCCGCGTGTCCCATCAGTGCTTCCCCCCTGAACCCTCAAAACTTGTGTTTCTCGCAGCCTTGAGCCCAAACAGGGCAGGCACGAAAAAGTTTGGAGTGCAGGAAATTCGTGATGCCGTCAGACCTGCCCAGAGGCGCTGGATGGGTCAGTTTTGTCGCAGGTCAGAGCCCCAAGGCGAGGGCTGGGGTGTGAGTGCAGGAGGCAGAGACACCTTGGAGCTGCTGTGCTGTGGGAAATAGCAAAATAAACAAGAGAGATGGTTGCAGAGGATCACACGTGCGAGAGGCATGGTTGAGTAGCATGAGCAAAAGAGCATAAAGGAGAAAGCAAAAGGCTGTTGTTTGTTTCCCCATATAAATGACATCTTGTCGTCTTTAATTCTGTGGGCAGCTATACGTGACGGTGTTTTACGAATACTTTACTTTGCAGCTAAACACTGTAAAGGACTGCAGATCTCACCAAACAAATGGGCTGTACAGTACTTCTCTCAGGCTGTTCTTTAATACGCCTGTCCTAGCTGATGTCATCTTCAAAATACAAGGTACGGTACCTCTGCCCCCATTGACGCGGGCACCGCTGCGCCTCCGGCTTTGGTCCTCTCTGCAGGAGAGTGGGAGATGGAGTGACTGTATTTTCTGTTGCATCAGAACTAAGACAACGCATACCCTTAGTTACCATTGCGGGAAGCAGTTTTTTTGCTTAGAGCTACGGCTTGTCCCAATGGATGCTTTACAGCAGCATCCACTTCAAGGTGGTTCGTCAGGGCTGAGCCCGTACGAACGCCCTCTGCCCACCGCCGCAGACTCTGTGCCTCTCTGATTCTCACGCACCCCTCGGGGGCTTGGCAAAGCAGGGGATGTGCTGCAGGAAAGGCTCACGCAGTGGCACAGCACCAGGGCGAAACCAGGGGCTGCAAGACAGGGGATGGTGATTTTATTCTAAAAATGTATTTATCTTGCTCACGTTCTCAGCTGGGCAAGCGCCAGGATGTGTCTGAGGGCTCTGCCCAGCATCAGACCTTGGAGAGGCATGGCCTCCAGCGGCCACATCTACGCTCTCCCTGAGTGAAAAGAGCAGAGATGGTGGTTAGTGACTCCTCACCACCTTCCCTCTGTCCATCTCAGGCTGGTGCTGGTTGTGGATGTGCCTTTCTCTGCCCTCCAGAAGCAGACAGGGACTTGTGTCCCACTCCTCTGCCCCCTTAGGCTTTATTCACCGCCTTTCTTCCCCCAGCATGGGCATCCCTAGGGATGCACCTAGATGTGCTGGGGTCTCGATGACCTGCTGATCAGGTGCCACCAACACCCGCTGTGTTTTACTGCCCTTCTAGGTGCTGCCGTACCCATCTTCATGTTTCTGTCACAGGTCTCTGCAACTTCTGTATGATAGGTGGCTCCTTGTGAAAGCAACCTACAGCCTTGCAAGTGTCTAGACCTAGAGCTTGACCTTACAAATGTGAAAAGAAAGATGTAAATTCTTGTGGGTTTGGTGGCGTTTTTTTTAAAACAAAAGAGCCTGTTGAGATGATGGCAATTATCCATAGTCCTCTTTGTGGCCAGGATTAAAAAGTGGAGGACCAGAGGGTGGGTTTCTGTGCAGGCTGTGAAGTTGCTGAGGTGGTTGGTGGTGTTGCACAGGTCTGCTCACAGGGATGCCAAGTGCTCCTCGGCCAAGGCTCAGGCAGGAGCCACGCTGGTGAAACCGCCTTCTGTTCCCGTTTGCTCTGCAAAGAACATGCTTGAGTGCACCAATATGCTGCAGTGCCACGGGTGATTTTTTCCTGGAAATTAAATGCGTTCACCCTTAAAAATAAAACCACAAGGGGGAAAAAAAGGGCATGTGCTTCTGTGAGAATAAGAATGAGACAGCTTTTACATGCTAACGATTTTCCCAATTTGTGCATGCCCACCCTTCGTGCAGAAACGGTCTTTTAGGACTACACAATTGTTTAATTACCTTCCAGCTTTAAATCTCAGAGCCAAATATGAAGCATTAATCCCTCAAAAGCACACGAGGACAAACAGATTCTTTCTAGATGTTCTGTGTAATATGCAGAAAAAACCAAAAAGATCTTTGGAAACAGGAGTGAAGTTCTGATGCTGAGTTTAATGACAGGAACAATTCCTCTCAGTGTCCTGCTCCTGAGAGAGGCTTTGTGGGGAGTCTGTGACAGCATGCCACTGCTAGATATCTCCCAGAAAAAAAGGTTACTGTCAAATGGGCTGACATGTATTTTTTAAAAAGTGTGCTTATCCACTAACAAAATGTGAACTGTTTTTCCTAATGCTTGATGAATCTTCCAAGCCTTTTCCCCAAATCCGTCGTCCACAATAACTATATTAAGACTAAATAATTACGAAAAGAAACTGAAGGCTTTAGTCTTGATAGGGCAAATACATTTTTAAGTCTTCAACTAGTTCCATGAGTCCTGGGGGTTGCTTTCAGCTTTCTAGCTAACAGAAGTACTTGGGAGCCATTGAACACCAGAGCCCTTTATGTCTGTGTAAAGACCCATAACGTGACTAAGCCTCCTAATTAGTAGGTAAATATCCAATTGGGGCCACATACAGAACTGCCTGCATATCTCACATCACGTCTGCATTGAGTATTGCTCATGTTACGTGCGTAAATATGTAACACCGTTGACGTGTTCTCTCTGTCTAGAAACAGAGCTATTTTGTATGCAGCTTAGAGAATTTGGAAGTAGAAGCACAGGTGAACAGAAATAGAACAGAAATGAAAAAGTGCCAGATGTATTCAAGGAATTAGGTAGGTGGCAGGGTTGTGGTGAAGGAGGAGATCGAGGGAGTAACTTCTATATAGGTATTTACAGTATATTCCTCTTGCATGTCAGTTGATCTGTTTATTATAACTTTGATTAAATCATTTGCATGGGACAGTAAGCTCTCATTCTGCCTTCAGTTGCTGCCCTGTCTGGCACTCGTTTGGCACGTCCTTGCCCACAGGACTGCGGAGTTCCGCTGTGCTCTGCAGCTGCCCCAGTGTCAGGGCTGGAGGCGCCAGCTGTCAGCATTTTCGTTAGCAGTCTGAGATCTCGACAGCCCTGGGCTGTGAACCCTGCTGGGTCTTCCAAATGCTGTAGTAAAGTAAGCGAGTAAAGGACATCAAATATTACGAAATCTAAAAATTTCTGGAAAAAGTTTATCAGCAATATTTGCATAAGGAAATTTCCTTTGGGAAATTTCACTCTGAGGGCGGTGATCCCCTGGGGCAGGTTGCCCCGAGAAGCTGTGGCTGCCCCATCCCTGGCGGTGTTCAAGGCCAGGTTGGACGGGGCTTGGAGCAACCTGGGCTGGGGGGAGGTGGCCCTGCCCAGGGCAGGGGGGGTGGAACTCAATGATCTTTAAGGTCCCCTCCAACCCAAACCATTCTATGATTCTCTGAAGTTCACTTAGGCAAAATACTTAGTCTGGTTAAATTCATACGTAATGGATTTAATGGAATTTCATCTGGGATAATCTGCCTTTCTCTGCTTTGTGTGGTTACGTGGAAGTTTGACTTCTGAAACACACATTTGTTACTGATGAACACGAATTGCTCACTTGCGCAGGAATTCACAGCACTGCGTTTTTACGCAATGGGCCAGAGGTTCAGATGGTGTGAACTGGTGTAACTCCATTAGTGTCAGATTTTATACTAGTTGAAAGCCTGTTTCTGACTTATGAAAGTTTGCCCCATTTGGAGCGCCTTGCATAGGGAGCAGGTTATCAGAATAATTTCGGCGTTTCTTTTTGTTTGCCAGTGGCTAGTAGGCCATGGAGGAAACACCCTCACTGGTATGAGGTGAGTGTGTTATTAGTTATCTATTAGAATCATAGAATGCTTTAGGTTGGAAAGGACCTTGAAGATCATCGAGTTCCAACCCCATGGGCAGGTCCACCTCCCACCAGCCCAGGTTGCCCAAAGCCACGTCCAGCCTGGCCTTGAACACCTCCAGGGATGGGGCCTCAACAACCTCTCTGGGCAACCTGGGCCAGTGCCCTAAAACCCTCAAAGTAAAAAATTTCTTCCTAATGTTTAATCTAAACCTGCCCTCTTCCAGTTTATAGCCATTCCCCCTCGTCCTGTCACGACATGCCCCAGTAAAAAGTCCTTCCCCAGCTCTCCTGGAGCCCCTTTAGGTACTGGAAGGCGGCAATAAGATCTCCCCAGAGCCGTCTCTTCTCCAGGCTGAACAGCCCCAACTCTCTCAGCCTCTCCTCATAGGAGAGATGCTCCAGCCCTCGGATCATCCTCGTGGCTCTCCTTTGGACATGCTCCAGCAGGTACATGTCCTTCTTACGTTGAGGACTCCAGAGCTGGATGCAATAACAATTGGATATTGTTAATTTTGAACACCTTAATCATGTTCAGTGAAGTGAAGGCCTTCTAAGAAAATACGAGCTTTAAAATCAATATCTTTCTGTGTATATAAAATCATCATAGATTTTTGTCTTGCGTCCTGCAGGTGCAACTGTACCAGCCCACAGAGCAGTCCTGGTAGCTCGCTGTGAGGTAATGGCAGCTATGTTTAATGGTAACTATCTAGAAGCAAATAGTATTCTGGTTCCAGTGTATGGGGTTTCCAAAGACACTTTCCTCTCCTTTCTAGAGTATCTTTATACCGACTCTTGCTGCCCAGGTAAGAAAATTTAAAAACACATGTATATCATCTGTTAGTAATTTTTCCACAGTGAGGCATTGATAGAGAGTAATGTAGCTGCATGTATTTCATTGAAAAATGACCATTTTTTAATGTATAATGTCTCAAGAAAGAGAACTTGTTGATATTGTGCAAGAAAAAAAGAAATCGGTCTTATTCAAGTAAAAATCAACTGCAGGCAGAAGGAGCACTAATCAAATGCTGTATTTGTTTTGTGCTGACATAGCAAGACTCAAAAAGCTGGTCCGTTACAATTATAGTTAGGAATTACAATTCTTTCTATGTTGCAATAACACTGCTTTCTAATCTTAATTCTGGGTTTTCTTTAAAATTGACATTTTTTTAGCATATATTTTGTTGCGTTTAATATAAACAAGGTTAAATTGCAAGAATAGTTTGTACGCATGGATAGCTTTTTTGTACGTCAAACCTGGAAAAAACTTTGCCAGCTGGAGTATTTAGCAAGAAAAAATGAGCTAAAGTGTTCTTTTTACCTTAAACTTTGTCTTTTTTAATGAGAATATAATCCACATACTGAATATGAAATACGATTTTAATACACATAGTTTTCCTTTGATGTAATGAATGAATGAAGGATGTTGGGATATGTATTTTTGCTTTTGTTTTCTTTTCAGACAATCCTACCTTCTTCTTAGGTTTTCCATATGTTTCTCTTTTCAGCCTGTCTAACATTTTGCCAATCCGTTTAAATATGCAACCACTGTACCATATCTTTTCAAAAATATGGTTGCTCCATTTTCTTTTTGGCCTTTTTACTATATTTTCCTGTACATGTACCATAGAGGTTCTTTTTTGAAAGAGAAGTTAGAAAGCCAAATCATCTTATTAATCATCACTTACTTTAAATAGACCAGCAGCCCTTGACTCAGCATCTTCAAAAGGCAGGATGTTGATAACAATTTATTACACTTACCTTCTAAAAGGTACTAACTGCTCTTTTCCTGTTAATTAATTAGTTTATCTGGAAAAAGAGAGCGATATAGCAAACTTATAATGAGCATAATGAAAGATAAAAGGAGGTGATAAACACGGTTTGATTTAATGTTCATTGTTAGATGTTTAAAAGATGACTCGGTGAAAAGTGGCTTTGATCATCACGTCAAAAAGGTAAAATACATGTAACTTCTGTTTTCTTGTTTTTCAGCCAGTATTCTCCAAGCTATGTCTCTCTTGATCTGTGCAGAGATGTACCAAGTAATGAGACTGCAGCATATTTGTGAGCTTTACATTATCACGCAGCTTCAGAGCATGCCTAGCAGGGAACTGGCATCCACAAGCCTCAGTATTGTTAGCTTGCTCAAAAAGGCTAAGGTATGTTTTGCATATATCAAATAAGAATATATATGTTGACTCTAATTGGCAGGAGTTGCTTAATTGTTAAGATTTTCAAGGTCTAAATAATTTCCACTCCCAAGGACAAACATGGATATACGATCTGTTGATTAGGGGTATCTGGTGGCACAGGCTGGCTAAAATAAAGCCTTCTTCAGCCTGTCGTTGCAGAATGTGCAGCCGTACCACAGTCTGTGCGATTTCCTTCATCAGGGACGCATTGCAGTAACTCAGCTTAACTGCAGCTTCTGCCAGAACAGATGTGTTTTAGGTAGGTGAAGATGCACTGCTTCCTTCTTAGTCAAAAAGAAAATTTTGTGATACGCAAGTGGCAAGGAGTTCTAACCTGATAGAATACTGCAAGAAACACATGAAAAGCATGAAAAGAAAAGCTTAGAGGCGGAAAAGAGAGAGAAAGAGAGACAGTAAGGACAGATTTGGAAACAAGAGGAAAATAAAACCTGCATTATTTGCAACTCTCAGGCAGGATATTGTCTTAAATGAACAGGATTATGTGGAGAAAGAGGAGACAACAAAATGAACACATCATGCTCCTTACCTTCCTCTTTCTGAAGCTCTGCTACTGTGCCGAACTGTCCAAGATTCATGACCAAAGGAGCCCCAGCGGTTAGGTCACACCTCTGGTGGACAGAGTTTTGTCATTCCTTCTTGGGGTTCCATGTGTTTACATATTTCCATCAATGACTTTTTCTTTGATATCTTCTACAGTCATAGAATCATGGAATCGTCTGGGTTGGAAGGGACCTTCAAGATCATCAAGTCCAGCCATTGACCTAACAGTGCCAAAACCACCACTAAACCATGTCCCTCAGCGTCACGTCTAAACTTTGTTTAGTAAACTGCCATGTTGACCATGGATATGTGAAATATTTTGACACGCGAAGCGTGGTTGTGTTTTAGACATGATAGCACCGTGTTGTTTGTGTTTCCTTTCTCCTTGCAGTTTCACAATTCTGATTGCCTTTCAACTTGGCTTCTTCATTTTATTGCCACTAACTACCTCATCTTCAGTCAAAAGCCTGAATTTCAAGATCTGTCAGGTAATTGATCAATTACTTTTAAAACAAGAAATGTTTTTCAGTTCTGCTTAGATCAGAAGGGAGGTACTGGACAATACTACTCCTGCATGAGAAGATGATTAGGACTTCTTTAGGCTATACAGTCTGCTCCAGTGCAGAGTCTGTTTGAGCTGGATGATTCACCACCCTACTGTGGCACCAGCACACAACACGTGAAGAGAAGCACAGCCAACAAACGCATCCCCTTGCCTGTTGGTTCCTGGGCTGATGGTCAGGTTCCCACCTATAACTGAATTACTAGGGCAGTTTGGTCATTGTATGGTGACCCCTCTGGGCCTTTTCTATATAGGTTTATTTAGTTTGTACATTTGAATCAAGGTAATGAGTCCCTTCCAATACCTGCTTTTTATGGTTAGGGTTTTCTTCTAAGACAATAGGATTCTTACAGTACTCTCCAGCAGATCTCATGAAATCAAATAACCGATGTCCATTCAAATAAATAACCCAGGTTCTTCCAGGGAACTGGTATTTATTTTCCCCAACAGTATATTTGTTTCCTGATATGTAACTCCAGAAAGTTTTGCTCTTAGCCTATGAGATTTTCATCACCCTGAAGAAGATGATCTTGACAGGTGCATCTCTTTGACCCATGGTTCATATTCAGACCATTGATATGGAGCCAGTGTATTCCAGAAAAAGATTTTTCTTATCAGGGAGCCAGTTGTTTGGTCCAAAGTATGGTAAAGGTCCTCTTTCCTCATTTGCAAGGCTCATATATGTATTTGTGATGACGGACAACCTTGTAATCGTTAGGAGCAAAGAAGTGAGAGCTAGGTCCTCCCTGCTTTGTTTAGACCTAGAGTTTGTCCTTCAGAGGTCCATCTGCGCATCTGCTGAATGTCCAGTTTGTAAAGCCAGATCTGGACTAAACATGAGAGCGCAGGGCACCTGTGCTGGCCAGTGTCACCAACCAGTGGGTTCAGTCCACAGTGGACTTGCTTTGCTTTCCTTCCTGCTGCTTCAGGTGGCAGGGCATATTTGGAAGCACTTTGTGGCCTCTTTCCACTGTGGGGCTTCAGTCTCAACCACCCTGAGGTTCTCCTGAAGCTGCAGGAATCAGGTTGTCCTCTCCATTTGGTGAAGGTGGGAGCTGCCTCTGGCTTCCCAGAGGACAGCACAGAGACGTGGTGGCTTGGGGTCACCACAGGGCTCAAACTAGGCACATCTACCCATTTCCCAGTGCCCCAGTGGGATATCAGCTTATCAATATCACTTATTAGAAGTTTGGGGTTTTTTTCCTGCCATGGAAAGTAATAGCAATAGCCCTTCTGTCCCCATGTTGTAGTTGTCCTGATGGATATCAGGCTGTGTCTGAGCCTGTCGTGAAACTTGTGCAGTGGTGCCTCTGATAAGCATCACTTATCGGCCCTTGTCAGCATGTGCTCTGACAGCACCCAGGTCACTCAGGGATGACCTGTACAGGATCACCATGCCAAAGGTCTGCTGTGCCATCACCTGCAGTTTCCTCCATGCTTCCACCACTTGTGGAGCATCCAGGGCTGATGCAGGGCAGTCTAAAGCTGTTGGGCTTCAGATGAGATTTCTGAAGTCTCCAGCAGGTGGCTGATACCAGGCTGGCCATTTTGGAAAGCACCTGTGGGTTGACTCAAAGGAAATGATACCATGCCTGTGGACTGATATCCTTTGAGATTTGGTGTCCACACGCCTGGCAGCCTGCCCTTTGCTTTTCTCTTTCCTCTGAGTCCCTTCCACTGACTCACTGAGGGGTCGACACGCTCTGCTGCATCAAACTTGCACGGAGTCAGCTGGAGGAAAGAAATAGGAGAGCGTAAGTAAATACAGGTGGATGGGGTGAAACCATTCTGATCCGGCTTGCCAGGGCACAAACACTCACTGGCACATTCAGGGGGGAGCACGCATCCCCGGCAGCAGCAGTTGTAGGCAGTTGGCCTTTGTCTCTCGGGTCACTGTCACACAGCATCACCCCAGGGTTCAGGGAGAGTGATGCAGGGGATCCATCTGCATAATATGGCTAAAACTCTGTTACATTATTTCATCAGTGACAAAAAGCACATGCAAAAAATTGTGAAAATATTGCTGAATTCTTAGTAGCTCTCCTTACCTTGTTTTTTGTAATGTACTTGGGACAAACCATTGACATAGAAATTGAAATACCCTCCTTTATAGCACTGCAGCGTAGAAAAACCCTCATAGTTGATTACCACATGTGATTGTCTTCTAAGGATAAAGAATATTCATCTTTAGAATAATCTCTCTGCTCTCTTTAATGAGTATTGTATTTTGTTAAGTAACCTATTTATTGCTAACTTAATAGCAAGGGAACATTGTGTGGTAACTTTTACATCTGCATTATGGTAAGATATATGCGAAATGGACAGGACTCATCTTTACTTTTCTAATTGTATTTATATCCTTAAAGTTTTTTAACCTATTTAAAAAGACTTTTTGCAGCCTGTGCACTTGTGCTGTATGTTTGTATATTACATTTAATTCCTTTGTTGCTTTCTTTAGTGGAGGAGCGCAATTTTGTAGAGATGCACAGATGGCCTTCCAATTTGTACCTGAAGCAGCTTGCTGACTACAGGAACTATGTCCACTCTCAGAAATGCCATTGCACGGTAATGTGAGGAGGCTGAAGATATGCAAAGTGCATCTCAACCAGGAAATTTCAGACTGGGAATTACGCAAAGTATAAAAATCATGTCAGAAGCAAAATCAGATACTGATGTGCCCTGGAACACTGTACGCCATGCTGTAGTGCGCTTACTAATATTCTTTGCTTTGATAGTAAATCACTCTACTTTTTTCCTTAAAGCATTGAGAAATCATAGAATCATAGAATTGTCTAGGTTGGAAGGGACCTTTAAGATCATCAAGTCCAGCCATCAACCTAACACTACCCAAATCACCACTAGATGCCCATCAGCACCACATCTACCTGTCTTAAATACCTCCAGGGATGGCAACTCTGCCCCTTCCCTGGGCAGCCTGTTCCAGTGCTGGACAACCCTTTCGGTGAAGAAATTTTTCCTAATATCCAATCTAAACCTCCTCTGGTGCCACTTGAGGCCATTTCCTCTTGTCCTGTTGCCTGTTCCTTGAGAGAAGAGACCGACCCCACCTCACTACTCCCTTCTTTCAGGGACCGAGAAGGTGTCCCCTCAGCCTCCTCTTCTCCAGGCTGAACACCCCCAGGGCCCTCAGCCGCTCCTCACCAGACGTGTGCTCCAGACCCCTCACAGCTCCATTGCCCTTCTCTGGACTCGCTGCAGCACCTCAGTGTCCGTCTTGTCGTGAGGGGCCCAGAACTGAATACAGCATTTGCGGTGGGGCCTCACCAGTGCCCAGCACAGGGACACCATCACTGCCCCAGTCCTGCTGGCCACACTATGTGATGTTTATTTTAAAAAGAGAGGGACAAAGGCATTCTTTACCTCATTAGTGCTGCAGGATGTCCTATACAAGCATAATTATACTTTGCAAAACCAAAACGGCTGGGGAGACCACACAGGAAGGGTATTGAAGAACTGGAAAAGGTACAGGAGACACTAAGCATGATAGAAGATCGAAAGCTGTTATTTATGGACAAAGTACAAGCTGCTGCTTTTTTTTTTTTTCTCTTTTTCTTTTTTAAGAAGAGAGAAACTGGGGCCAGTAAGAGATGCAATTCTCAAGGATATCAAAAAGTTAATGACAGAACTCAGTCAGACCATTGCAAGCAGAGTTGATAATAACCTCGGAGAAAGCAGTGCTAACGCAGAGTTTTATGATATAAAATAGGGGAATGCTGTTGGTAGTGTGTGGGTCTCCACCATCAACACCCCATCTTTTGTCTCGCCCCCGCAGGCTGAACTGCATTGCGGCTTCTGCATTTCAGGAATGTGACTCCTGTCCTTGACCTCGTCTGCAGATAAATACAACATGCCCCTTACTGCTGAGTGGTTTGGGAAGAATTTCAGCCAGACAAGAGAGGGGAGATAAAGGAAAGACAGGTGAGGATGTTTTTCATCTGCTTATTTTGAACCAGGCTGCTTGACTTTGGTGACAAGACTTTGGGTGGTGGGGTTAAGTGGGGCAGGTCACATTTGCTAACCTCCAGTCAACTGGGACCTGCCCAGTTAGCCAGGACTGCTGAGAAACGATGGAGAGTGGCTTGGTGAGCATGTCCACCAGCTCCCTCAGTACCCTTGGGTGGATCCCATCTGGCCCCATAGACTTGTGTGTGTCTAAGTGGTGTAGCAGGTCCCTCACCATCTCCTCATGGATTATGGGACCTTCATTCTGCTCCCCTCCCCTGTCTACTAGATCAGGGGCTGGGTACTCAGGGAACAACTGGTCTTACTGTTAAAGACTGAGGCAAAGGTGGTGTTAAGTACCTCAGCCTTTTCCTCATCCTTTTTCACCATGTTTCCATCCCCATTTTCTAAAAGACAGAGATTATCCTCAGTTCTCCTTTTATAGAAACTATTTTTGTTGTCCTTAACAGCAGAAGACAGGTTAAATTCTAATTGGGCTTTGGCCCTTCTAATTTTCTCCCTGCATAGTCTCACTGCATCTTTGTAGTCCTCATGAGTGGTGTACCACTTCTTCCAAAGGCCATAAACTCTCCTTTTTTCCCTGAGTTGCAACCACAGCTCTCTGTTCAGCCAGGCTGGTCTTCTTCCCCTTTCTTTGGCACATCGGGATGGCATCCTCCTGCACCTTTAAGACTTCCTTCTTGAAAAATGTTCAGCCTTCTTGGACTCCTTTGGCCTTCAGGACTGCCTCCCAAGGGGCTTTGTCAGCCAGGCTTCTGAAAAGGCCCCAGCCTTGCTTCTCCAAGAATCAAAGGCTATCATTTTGTGATCACTGTGCCCAAAATGGTGTCCAACCGTCACATCCCCCACAAGTGTTCTCTGTTTACAAACAACAGATCCAGCAGGGCACCTTCCCTAGCTGGCTCCCTCACCATTTGTGTCACCAAGTTATCCTCAACACGCTCTAGGAACCTCCTAGGCTGTTGCCTTTGTGCTGTATTTTATTCCCAGCAGATACCTGGTAAGTTGAAGTCCCCCATGATGACAAGGGCCTGCAGTGTTGAGACTTCTCCCAGCTGTTTATAGAATATTTTACCTGCCTCTTCACCCTAGTTGGGCAGTCTATAACAGACTCCCACCATGATATCTGCCTTCTTGGCCCTCTCCCTGATTCTTATCTATAAACACTTAACCCTATTGTTATCATTATTTAGTTCTAGACATTCATAACGCTCCCTGACATACAGGGCCACCCCACCACCACTCCTTGGTTGTCAGTCCTTCCTGAAGAGCCTATAGCCATCCATGGCAGCACTCCAGTTGTGCGAGTCATCCCACCGCGTTTCTGTCATGGCGACATCGTAGCTTTCCTGCTGCGCAATGGCTTTCCAGCTCCTCCTGTTTGCAGCCCCTGCTGCATGTGTTAGTGTGCAAGCACTTCACTTGGGCTATTGATCCCACCACATTTTTACTGGGAGAAGGCCTAATTCCTGCCTGACTATTCCCAGGTGTGGCCAAAATTTCTAACCCATCAAAGACGCTCACATCTCTGATGCTGCGTGAATCTCCATCCCCTACTTCCACTGAGTCCCAGACTGAGGGACCTCACTAGCATGCTGTCCCATGGACATTGTCACACCACCCTACTCCTAAAAAGCCTGGTTGCATCCCCTTCCCCTTTCAAATCTAGTTTAAAGCCCTTTCGATGAGCCCTGCCAACTCCTGCACCAAGAACCTTCTCCCCCTTTGAGACAGGCGTACCCTGTCAGTCCCCAGTCGGCCTGGTGTTGCGTAAACCAAACCATGACCAAAAAACCCAAAGTCCTGCCACTGGCACCAGGCTCAGAGCCAGGTATTGATCTGCTGGCTCTATCATGAAGATTTATTTCAAGCACAAGGATTTCACACCTGTGGGGATTAAACATAGCACAGGACAGTGTCATGACTGTCATCTGTTCCCCCTTCTAATTTCTTTATAGGTTTTTTTAATTGGTTTTCATGTTTATTTTTGGCTGCTAAACAGCATCTGTTGAAAACAGATTATTTTTTTAAATCTATGTACAATAGGAGCATAGTAGCAGTGCAGGGAAGCTGAGAAGACAACTCGTAAGTTCTGTAAATATTTCAGAATGCAAAAAATTACTGCAGCATCTGTTGGTTTGCAAAATAAAGGGTAGGTTTAATAAGAATTTTAGTTACTCTTCATTTTCTACTTCAGGTTAAGTCTGTAGTTCCTTTTACTGACACTCTTACAGTCACGTGAGTGGGTATTTTAATTCCAGAGGAATACTTATGCATCACTATATTCTCTAGTGCCTCTCAAATATCTAAAAATTGAAATAATTTCTCCTCCCAGTAAATAGCAGAAGGAAGTGTGTTTTAATAATCTGTAGCACACCTTTGGTAGTGTGGTCATATTGTGTTTTTCCCCATGAGGAAAAAAGCCAGGAAGAGCTCAGAGCATACCCGTATGGTACGGGCAGGGACTCATCAGCCTTTTGTAGGTTTTGTGGTGGAAAATGCAGTGGCAGTAGTGACTTTTTTGGGAAAAGTGGGTCTCATAACCCTAGTTCCTCCCCAGCAGCTGACAGCATAAATGCCTGATGCACTGGTTGTGGAGGGAGGGGACCCCCATAGGTACACCAGTCCTATGAGGAACGTTGGCTTTTGTGATGGGACTTTGATCTTCACCCTCCCCAGTGGAGACTCAGTTTAAATTGATTTATCATCGTGTGCTCATAAACCTATGCCATGTGAGACAAACATGATTGTATTTGCTGGCTGCCTGGATTCTTGCTTAGATGTAACAGAGAAATCCTGAATATTATGGCAAGAATGACACTTGCAGATGCTATTGAGAGTTTTCTTGACCTAAATCCTTCATTTGTCATGCCATTAACTTATATGTATGGTGTAACATTAACAACAAAATGAACCCAGCTTTGACATGAGGTTATCTATCTGAGCATGGGTACTTTTCTGTAAGTGAAGTCTTACCAAGGAATCCCGGGGTGGGCAGGTCCCTCTGGAGCTCCCCCATCCCACCCCCCACCAGAGCAGAGGCACCTCCAGCAGTGGCACAGGACGGCGTCCAGGCGGGTTTGCGATGGCTCCAGAGGGGGAGACTCCCCCACCTCTCTGGGCAGCCTCTGCCACTGCTCTGCCGCCCTCACAGCAGAGAAGGCCCTCCTCAGGTGGAGATGGAAATAAGTAAACCCTTCATTATCAGTTTTGTTGTACTTTTCACTTTGCTTTGCCAGCTGCTTTGGGTTTTGGTGTGTAGTCTGAGCCTAGAAAAACAAAGACAAGACACCAAAAATTCATTTAGTGTTTCCCCAACCTCCACAGCAGACCATCTCAAATGTACCTGGAAACTGCAGCTCTGAGATAAAGATGGAACAGCAAATTGCTGGACCTGAATATATAATTTTTTTTTTTTGCTTATAAGAATTGTTTTTCTATTTCGAAACAGTTTTATAGGTGAATTGTTCTTTTCAAATTCCATGCTAGAGTCATAGGCATTTTTTTTTTCCTGGTGACATTTTGCAGAGGTTGAGAGGGTATTTTCTTTCTTATTTTTGGACACACACACACAAAAGAGTTTGTGACTC